TGAAATGTACTTTTAGTTGTTTTGCTTGTTCTGCAGCTCTTTCACCAACAGATATAAAAAACTCATTAAATTCGTTCGCAACCTCTGTACAATCACRGGAGTATGCTAGGCGAGGGCTACTGGACGAAACCAAGCAGCGACGAATCGTTTTCCAAATGGAAGTTTTGTTTTCTTTGTTTGCTGTTATTTCACTTTTCACGTATTCTCGCTCCGATTGCTTTATCTTACGTTTGACATCCTGCCGTAGGGCTCTAAAGGTTTTCCAGTCGTTTATTTCTGACGTCTGGCGGGCAAGATTATGCTGTGCGTCTCTCTGTTTCATCAGCTCTCTTATCTCAGGTGTTATCACTGCAGAGTCTTTGCTGTGTTTGGCCTTAAAAGTCCTCARTGGAGCGTGTTCCTCTAACACTTCATGGAAAAGTTTGTTAAAACAGTCCAATTTGTCATCAACCTGGTCGAAAAGCTGTACTGTGTCCCAGGGAACTCTTTCCATGTCTTTACATAAGTTTTCCGCATTGAAGTTCTTGTAGCTTCGTGTTGTAATCTCTATTGGTTTCGTTTTTGGTAGTTTCAAGTTCAGAGTACARTGAATGAGATAATGGTCGCTAAGAGTTATTTCGAGTACGTCACTTTTACGCACAAGATCTACATTTGATGTCAGCATTACATCAATCAGCGTTTCAGTAGTCTCAGTAATTCGAGTTGGCTTGGAGATGARTTGAGAGAGGTTTAATGAAGTACACAAATCTGTTAGCGCACAAGATTCGGAGCTGTTAGACAGTAGATTACAATTTAAGTCACCAGTAATAACCATGTCCTTTCGAAGAAGCAGGGCTTGGGAGTATTTTGGAACAAAATCTTCAGTAAAACAGGYGACTGGGCAACAAGGTGGCCTGTATGCGACACAAACAAGTATCGATTTCAATTTYTTGTGTTGAACATTGAGCCATAGCTGTTGAAATCCGTTTGCCGATGAGGCGGTAAGATCACCTAAGTTCTTGACTTTCAAAGAAGAGCGCACATAAACACAGACCCCGCCACCTGATTTTGTGGTGCGGTCTAGTCTAATTAARCGGTAGCCATCAACACTTATTTCGCTGTTCTTTACGGTGGAGTTAAGCCAAGACTYTGAGATTGTAAAAATGTCGAAGTCATTATTAACAATAAGATCTTTAACCTGAATAAAATGTTCCCGATTTTTGAGTGAGCGGACGTTTAGGTGAGATATGGTGATATTATGTCTTTGTCCAGTTGYGAGGTGCGAATCTGAACCAACGTTAGGGCGAGAGTTGACAATGCATAGTTGCAGATGGACTTGGTTAGTATATTTATTTGTAAGGTCAACATTGATGACGTTGCTTCAATCTCGAGAACGGGTCAAAGCTGAGCGACGGTTCTGACGGTTGGTTACACGAACTGTTATTGATGACGAAGGATCTGGTCCGGGATGGGGGTGCACATCTCCACAAGTTAAAATAGCAGAGGCCGTGCAACAAAATGTTGCTGTGGTATTTGAATAATACGAGATACAGCTCCTCATCCATCTTATCTTCTTTGTTCTCAATGTAACACAGGCCTTGTGGGCGGTATAAAGGACTCACTAGTAATGCTGTCCCTAGGGATGGTCGTTTGGTATATGCAAATATGAGGTGCGTAGTGAAGTGAAACCAAGSGAACAAACTCACCAAAACCCTCGAATTTTCTCTGTATTTTGGGTAAATTWAGCCTCCAAGATTCATTCCAATTACATTTCTCAGACACGGTGGTAGTTACRAACGTCCAAGAGATGTTCGGCTGGTGATTCAACTCCAGAAGCAGCGGAAAAAGCAACAAAATTGTAGAGCTCAAAAGAACACGTCCGATCATGTTTCACGTCACGTGTCTTCGTGGAAAGAAAGACTTGCAAATTTGTAGAGGTGGATTTGAGGATGTTATTTTAAATGCACTGGAAATAGTTTCATCAGTGAGTAACAGTAACAGGAAATAAATAAGTATATTTTTCAATAATGTATTGTGTAGAAGTTTATTCGAAATGCACTGGTAAGCTAAAATATGGATTTTAAAAACGAATAGTTTTTAAATGATGTAAGTAACTTTTAAAAGGCCTCACATACATACTCACTTACAAGTATATGGTGTTAGTCTCCTGTTAGTTTCTAAGGAAAAAAGTTTGCATTTTAGCTAGCAAATGGGTAGAGAGTTATGATAACTCAGATATTCTGGCT